GATTATGCCCATCGAAACATCCGTCTCGCTGCTGTATCAATCACTGGAGGCGAGCGATAATTGCAGAATGTCGAATTCCACAACCGACCGCCTCCCTCGCCACCCCCGGCCCTCTCACACCCACGTCCTCTGGTCGATGCTTTCTGACGCTCGGGTGGTATGCGGCGCAGAACGCTCGGACTTGCTGTGACGTTCGATTCCCCGTCACGATCGACAGAGCGGACCTGGCCGGTTCGATCCGCCCCGACACCGGTCGGCGGCCTCCGTGCACATTTCACGACCGGTCGCTGCTATCTGAGGCAGCCCAGAATGACGACATTGTGGTGATAGATGGGAGCGCTCGTCTTTCTATAACTACAGAGGGGTCTTTGTGGGGAGGCTAGGAATTGCGGCAAATAAGTCTATGATGCGCGCTACGATTGTGTATGGATCCATGCATCGTGGGACGATCCCAAAATTACGGGTGACTCATTTACACATTTTATCCGGATTTATGATTTATGTTATGTCATAACGTCCATGAGCTTTCACCAAGGGTTTCGTGTGGGCTTGTTCTCTCCAAGTGTTCTCATCGAAGGTTTACCTACCCGTTGATGATGAGATAGTGTACCGTTATCTCGTTTTCCTGATAAATGGCATAAACCAGCTCATGCATTGCAACACTCGGGTCTCTGATAACGGCAGAGGCGATGCTATCACCGGCTGGACCAGTTGCGGTGACTCACGAGACTGTTGTCTTGCTAGCCGCACGTCACTAGGGGATGTCTTGTTGCTGGTTAAGTTCAAACTCTGGCGACAGTGCGCGGTGTTTTGGAGTTTTTGCGGCTTGCGAGCTGTCACACAAAGCTGCTGCGCTGGCGTAAAATCTCAGCTGATACGAGGCCGTTATGTTTTGGCTCTCACCCACGTGCTGTTGTCTGGCTGTGACGCCGCCGTTACGGCGAGTTGGTGCTGTGACGGCCCGGCGTGTGTTGTTGTGATGCCGTGACGTCACGCCGTCACGCAGTGACGGCTACCGACGGCTGACCGTCACAGCGTGCTCCTGCGTGGTGAAACTGACGTGCCTCCACTCCTTCACATCTGGTGAGCGCCGCGTGGTCAGCGGCTAAGAGAGACCGAGTTGGGGCACGAGAGGATATCAGAGACCACCAAATTACCAGTGGTTCATGGCACGAGCGTGGTACAGTCGCGTGCTGCGAGATACAACACGGGAAGGTGTGTTTATGGTTTGTGGTCTCCCCGGCTACCGGCGACCGTTAGCATCTGGTCAGCACACAGCGCGTGCCAGAAAAACCGTTGTTCATTAATCTGTGATAGGGATCAGAGAAGGCCTCAATCCCCGATGGCGGTTTCTCGGCTTCTCTGAGGAGTTGTGACCCCGAGACTGCGGTCAGCGTGATCGTCACGGTCGAGTTACGCGTCACGGGTGGACGCAGCTCGTCACAAACACGGAACTGCCGTAACGAGGCTGCAGTGGTGTCAGCCCCCCCCCCCCCCCCCGGGTGAGCGGGGCGGGTGTACTGACCCATAAGGGCACCGACCCACGGGTGAGGTGAACATCCCGGGTGGCTGTGCCCGCTATACGCGGGTATCAGCCCAGCCAGCACCGCTGGCTGAAGCTGCGTTGGAATTGAGTTGTGAGCCGCGGACGTGGGGATTGTCACCCAGCGATGGATTTAGTCCGCTCCGTGCGGGATTTGCGGGGATTTGCGAGGATTTGGTACGACGTATTTGTACGGGTGTCGCAGAACGCCAGCTTAGCCTAAACTAGCTTCTAGTTGGGAGTAAGCGCTTTGGAGGTCAGCTCACTGTACATACATAGTTGACAATCTGAGCCCTTCCGTCCGTCTCGCTGGATGATTTCGCTCTGGAATGTTCGTCCATCGTCGGCCGTGTGTGCGCCCTTCGTGGCTCCCTCCCAGTCCGTCACGGTGGTGCACTAGTCTGAAATTTCCTGCAGAATTCCAGCGCTGCTCACGGCGGCCCAGTCGCGTGAACACCCGAACTGGGCCTCGGTTTGACATATGCATGCTGCAGCGAGCCGTTAGTGAAACCCTTCTCGGTGTCAAATCTAACGGTGATGTGTAACGGGCAGGCGGACAGACAACCTTCAACTGTCCATGTGAAATATTTATGAACTGTCTGAATGACCACCTATTTCGTACGCACGTAATGGTTGAAGACAAAAGTTGAAACGCAGCTTGATCGGATGTGACTGGTCATCTTATGGGCTGGGTTACGGTTTTATGGATGTTTATTAACAAGTAAGGTGAGTTTGTTGGGGAGTTGTGCGTGGGACAATTTGGGAGGCGATTTTGATGATATAAACTTTGGTCATGGAAAGTCTAAACAAGATGATTGCCACACCGACTGATTACGGTCAGCCTTATCGCCTGTAAGAACCACGTGTATGCTCGCGGGTCGTTAAGTTTTCAGCATTAACTATCCTTTCATGCTCAAGGAAGTCTGGAAGAGAGATTGCGTGTGCAGACACAAAGGTCGTTTCTTTGAACGAATTAGCTTCAACAAACAGCGCGACATGCGACCACGAGTCAAGCGATGCATTGATATGCGTTTATTGTGTGACTGTTTCCGGCTCACCACCGGTATTGGTGGGAACGTAAACATGACAATAAACAAGCATCGATAAAGCCATATTCTGCCCAGGTATTATTGTTCAGTTTGACTTTAATGCCTGTGTTGCGAGCCTTCAAAAAGCGTCAAGAATCTTTTCAGACATGAGTCAAGGTTCATCAAAATATCGACTGAGTGTTTTTCTCGGCCGGTTTTCCCTCTGATTCCCTGTATGGCCTCGCCAACAGCGCCAGTCCACTGTCTGTCGTTGTTTTTATTTCTGTAGAAGCCATTGAGCGCTCGGCGTCGCGGCGGTGGCAGTCGCTCGCACTGTCCTGCTAACGGTACGGTTCAGACGGAGCAGCGGACATGCCCTGCAGTATATGGTCAGCGCAGCGCCTCCGTCTGTCGCACGCGCCGCCGTGACTCGGGCGCCCCCAGTCCGGGCACTGGGTCCGCCTCACTCGAACTGTCCTCTGCACGCGCTGACTGACCCTGAGCGGGAGACTGAGGGGGTGGGAAGGCCCGCCAGCTGCATAAGATGCATGGCTCGACCGCCAGCCCACCGACCCTTGCAGCTTGCAGTAGCAATAACAGTTAGTGAGCTGGCTGGCCAGAACGAGTGAGACATCTCTGAGACAAGTGGGCGCGTCTAATGTGTCTCCGGAAGCGCCGGGTGACTGGTTCGTCTGGCCTCGGCGGCGGCGGCGCCGGCGGCTCCTCTCACAGCGCCAAAGGAATGCGACCCTGCGTGAGGCGCCTTCCGGCCGGAGAAACACTGACTCGCGTCGGCGCTGTGAAAACTTGGCCGTCGGCGCCGACGGGGGGCGGGGCGTCGTGCGTCATCTGGTGTGACGTCACCACCGACCCGGCCCGGCCCGGCCCGGGTGTTATTAGCCCGCCGAGTCACATGGTCCGTGCGCCGTTCCAGAGCCCAGTTTAGACCATGGCGCCGGCGGTGAAATTCCTCCGCGGCGAGCGTGACTCGTCTGCGCAGGTCCTCCGCGCAGTACCTGTTCTGAAAGTGGCGCGGATTGGATCCACAAACAGCCGCTGATATATGAGTGCCGGGACTTTTGGCACCTCACGAGGTCGCACCACGTTAGGAACTGCGCTTCGCTCCCCTCTGAGAGAGGTGGTGTTGTTGACGCCATCAAGCTGAATAAGATGCTATTCCAGGTGTCACTGGGCCGCCCCCCTATTCGCGCTGTTTGTTGTTGGTGTTTTGTTGAGCCCAAGCCGCGCTGTTGGTTTTTTAGCTGCGCCTTGTATCTGGTTCGTGCTGTTAGCTTTTCGCGGAGTCTTGCTCGTGGCTCGCCCTGTTGACAGTTTCTCTGCGCCGGCTCTCACTGTTGACTGTTTACCGTTGCCGTCCATGTGTGTCGTCCGGCGCCGGCTGGCCGGCCGCTGCTATCACCTGCAGCTGCGCCCGGCGCCGCTGGCTGTCTCCGGGCAGGGCAGCGAGTGTGGACGGTCCGGCCGTCACCGGAGCAGCGGCCGACAGATCCTGGAGCTGATAGAGCGCCGATGACGCGCGCGGCACAGCCGTGTTGACACGGTGGAGGGACCGGTCTGCCCGGTGCGCCGCCCGCAGAGCCGCCGTGAGGGGCGGACACGACCAGGGACATGTGTTGGAGAGACTTGTCATTGAAACCGGCCGGGTCTGTGCTGGACACTTCGTGACACTCCATTGAAATCGGCCGTTGCTTGTGTAGGGCACTTCGTGACAGTGGGACTCGTCATGGGATGTTCTGGTACTATTCCATTGTTAGGACAGAACCGTTATTCCTTATTTATTACGAAACATCTTATGCAATACTGATATTGTGCAGATAGTGGTTTTGGCTTTATAGGTGTGTTGTGTATAATAGCGTCACGACCCTCGTAAATATTGCTTCGGTTCCAACTAAATACTCTTGATGTGCCTGACGCGAAAGAGAAAGTATTTCACGGCAAACTATCCTCACCTCGGCTGAATGCCGCGGCGAAAGCCCTATTCGTGATCGAAAATCGGCCGTGAGTGTTGACGGGAGCCGTGGCCGGCGGTTGACCGCAGAGCGCTCCCGACTGCCCTTTCCACCAGCCTTGAACGTGACTCTGTGTGTCACGTCACTCTGTTCCGCGGAAACCGGACGGCGAGCGGCATGGGCCGACCCACTGCGTTGTGCGCCGACCGAGCCTAATTACGTAATGATGGCTACCGCCCCGCCCTCAACTAACGGTAGATAAGCAGATCTGAACATACGTCAGTCCTCTCTATACGCGTACATATTTTATGTGATGTTTTGCTTCCTCAATAACAGAGATTTCACAATCTTTGCCCGTGGGTAACTGCAGAGTTCATTGTTTCCTGCTTAGTGCGTCATTTCTGAGGCCGGTGACCTGCCGCGGACTGACCCCCTCCCCCCGTTACGATGTGACCTCAGATGACCCGGCGGCCAGCGCGGAACAGGTGCGGACGGTGCTCTTCTGCTCGGGCAAGCACTACTACGCGCTGGCTGCCGAGCGGGCGGCGGCCAAGCGGTCTGATGTGGCTATCGTACGGCTGGAGCAGCTGACACCATTCCCGACTCTGCAGCTGAACGAGATCAGGGAGAAATACAGCAAGGCGACCAGTGAGTACCGCAAACTTAGGGCAGAGGGGTGGTGGGGGCGACGGGAGGAGGGCGGGGGGGGGGAGTCATGAAACAGCGACGGCTAGGCGAGGCGGGGCTTACACGGACTACATTTGTTCACTTTTGTTCGCCGGTGGGATAGCAAGTAAGTTCATCGTTAAGATTCATGTTGTCGCGTATCTGATTTTGGTCCGGCGACCGGCTGGGCCGGTTCCTGTTTCTTTTTTCCCATGAGTTTCAATGAACAACAACTCGTACTCGACACAAATACCGGCAAGGCATTACAAGACCTCGGCGATATGATTTACCTTAGACAATGCTAGATGGCAAGCTGGCATAACTGAATTTACTCTGGACTAGAAGTGAATCTGAGCCAAGAGCCCAAGAGAGTCGTATGCACGGCGAGCTGGCTACTGGGACTTACCTCTGTGGTTGGGCAGGTTGTAAGAAGAAATGCTAATGTTATGCACCTTACTAGTGCAAGGGAAGGAGCTTGCTAAACAGACGCATACGTTACGCAAGAGATGCCGTTACACACCGCAGCAAACACTAGCGTCGTCGTGGTACACATACCCAGACAGTGCGGTAAGCAGGAATGTTGGATCAAAGCTCATAGGAGGAATGCCCATTGCTCATGAATCCAAGAAAGCGTAGAAGTTGAAAGGTAGCCACTCGGCTTGCGCAAACTATGGCAGAACTGAGGCGCATATCCTGGCAGATCATGCAACTAGAGAATGGCCGCTCCCCATTAGCTTCCTAGTGAAACGTTTGCGGTTTGCGTCATACGCTTTGATAAATGATGCGTATCCGACGATACCTGTGATTGTTGCGAGCTCAAATTCAATTTTTCAGTTTCTGTGAGTTCAATACGATTATGTAACGTCAGTTATCCGGTTTTTGTGTCTTGCCTACTGCATTATCAGTCACTAGCTGGATATCTTATGTCGGCTGTCATACATTCAGCTATTTATCGCACATGTGGCCACTAATTAACGCGTTTGTCCACTCGCACGAACCTGCGCGCAATTCCACCACTTCTGGTCACCTAATCCCCCAGTTTCTGAGCCGTCCTCTCCTGGCCGGACTCTAGCTATCGGCCGCACGCGCAGGCTGCACGCGCCGCTGCAGCTAATTGATGCACATCTGCCGGGTGGCGGGCTGGCTATTATGACCTCTCCGTGACGGGCCTGCGTCCAGCGCGGTCACGGAGACCATCTGTCCCCCCCCCCCCCACCCCAGCTGGACTGAGGTGACCGCCTGTCCAGCCAGGTGAACGAGCACGGGGCAACGAACGCGCAGCGACGGCCAGCGGCGGCCCGGTTACGAAACTGGCGTCTTCAAAACAATGACGAAAATGCGTAACAGTGTAACGGAATGCTTGGATGCACTGTGTTCAAGAAGGCCGTAGTTGCGTGCCTGCAGAAATACCACAGGAATTGTTTACCTTAGAAGTTATTTGACATGTCAACCTGCTCAAATGGTTTTCATCAAAGATTTACGCAAAGTGATTCGTCTTGACGTCATATATCGAGCGTTTACTGTAGCGCGTGTCAGATGTTAATCAATATTTTCCATTCTGGCTGCCAGCTGGTTGTGGCAGGGCAGGGTGGCCGACCGGGAGGGCAGACACCCACGGCCGCCGGCCCGGCCCTCCTCACCCTGAGGGCAGAGATGACCGGGCGCGGCGAGCGGCGGCGCGTCTGAGTCATTGCGGCGCGCCCGAGACAGTTGCGGCGCCCGTGACGAGTTGTGGGAACCGAGCAGATGTCCCGTCTGCCGGGGGCACCGCCAGGGGACCCGGTGGGAGGCTGCAAAGGTGCAGAAACTGCGGGATATTGCCACACATCACACAACTGCAGGGCTCGTTTCGTCCCACGGCGCAGAGAGGCGGCCTTTGAAAATCTTAAAGGTTGTCTGCATAGTAGATAAAGGGTGATGACAGTGTCGGGAGCATGAGCATGACTCGAACTTTGAAGGTCCGTTTTCTCACGAACCGTCCAGGTAGCCTCGGAGTTATCTTACAGAGCAGCAAAGTCTGTCTCTTTCAAAGTCGGCGCTGGGCGTTGGTAGAGTGGCTTTGCGTCTCGTAGCCTTGTGTCATGCCTTAGCACACGGAGGTTACATGTATGTTACAATGCTACATGCGTGTAATGCGGGGCCTGGCATTGGGCTGCATAATGGCTGATATAATGCGAAATCTGTCGTCAGTTTCCTGTGAATTGCGCATGTCACCGACCATTATGGGCAAAACCTCTGTCACTGTGGCCTTTTACACGTATGACACAGATAAAGCAGCGCTACATCCGTCAGCATTATTGGTATTTTGACGTCACTACTGCTAATGGTTCTCTCCGGTTACAGCATCGTTTGACAGGTGGCCCAAGCCAGCTCTGGGGGCCTTTCGGCAAGGACTGGCCTTGAAGCGACATCGATTATCCACAAACCTGAATCAAACGTCAGCCGGCATCAGGCGCTGTCGCCGTTATGTCAGTGCGGCTGGCGCGACCACGGCACACCATCCCGTTACCCGCTGTGGTCTCAGCAGTCTGCCGGGAGGGCTGGAAAGCGGGTCTGACATGTGCTCTTTTCCGTCTCCCCTTGTGGATCCTCCGCCCGCTCTGGTCAGGAATGAGATGTCCCTCTTCCTGAGTGGCCCCTCCGGCCCACGTCGGACAGCGCTGAGGCCGGCCCGTGTGAGGCTCCCCGAGCGGTGAACTGGTTCGGCCGTGTCGGAGTGACTGCTCTCCGCTGCTCGGAGATGTCGGCCGCACCCCCGGTGACGACATGGGGCCGGTTAGGCCGCCGGACGGACCACGCTCTCACGATGTGACTGAGATCCACAGCTCCGCGCCGGCCTGTCCGCCCGCCACGAACCGTCACCGCGCCCTGGGAACGCTGTCAGGGGCCGCTGGACCGCCAGCCAGACGCCAGGCCGGCGCCACCGCTGACGGATATCTTATCGACGCCGCACACCCAAAACAGGCCATTTGTAGATGGCGGTTTTTCCCTGGCTGCACCGATATTCTGGGACCGTATATACGGTTTTTGCGCGCCGTCTGTAGGCTGGACAGACCTTCCTGCTAGCCCGGTGGTCAACTGCGCATGTTGACGGACTCGCAGCGGTGGGCGAATTCGGGTCCGGGCGCTTTCCGCGATGGCCCGTTAGTGAGCGGAGTGTTATTGCTAGGGGCGCGAGCGGGGTCGTAGGGGATGGAATGCATCGATCAGTTATTGACGAGGAGCGAGGTGACGGAGATCGCACCTCTGATGACCTCACACGATGTCACGCTGCCGTCATAGGTAGCAGCGAGTTGAAGGGATGACGTCCGTACTACCTGTTTGGTGCACCGTGCATTGGAGCCGTGTTTGCCGTAAATTGAACGCTGGACGGTTCCGCTGTAAACAGCCGTGACATGGGGCGACGACATCGACTCGGCTGTTTGTGACGGTTGTGACAAACGGACAACGGATGTAGGGAGAGCTGTCAGCGGCTCACCGTCACGGTCCTTTGACGGACGTGACGGCAGGGTACTGGTGACGGGCGTGACCCCGTGACGACCCGTCACGGACCGCCGTGACGTCAGCGGACGTGACAGGTGCAGGGAGCGTCACTGACAGGTGGACCAGGGGTCCGTCTGTCTGGTCATGCTGCAAAATGAAACTGACCCGGATGCAGCGTTCAATGTTCATAGGTTTCGGCCTAATTTAGCAAAATGTAGTCCAGATCAGTGCAGAGGCATTTAAAATGTGATTTATGTTTTGTTTTGATGCGTAAAAATGAATGAATTGAAGTTGCTCCCTTTTGCATTCGATTTAGATCGAATTTGTTGTGTTTATGAATTACGAAAATCCGAACTCGTGTTAGTCAGGCTTGTTGAGCAACTCCTGCTTTCACACCTCTTGGTTGGAAATTTCTGGTGTCGCGGCGTAGTTTGGAGCCGAAGTTATGAGGTGTTCACAGCTGGGCACATCCGGCTGACTGGACTCATCAACGCTGGAACGCCATCATCTAACCGATCTCAGACCAGCTCAGTCGGGAGCCGCCATGAAGGCGGGCGCCGAACGACTGCTATTTCGCCTGGCGTGGTGTCGTAGTCATTGGTATAAGTTTGTAGCTCCCTTGTATGTAGTAGCAGGAGGGACTGTTTTCGCAGTGTTCCAGGATCCTCTGAGAGAACTTTAAACTTTTGAGAACTTTGCCTGCTTATGAAGTGTCTGTCCGCTCAACTATCTCATTATGTTTGGATACGATGAATAGTCTCGAACGTATGGCAAAACTGCTCCAAATTCACCTTGGCTAGCCGTCAAATCCAAACCAGAAGTCCAAAACTTGCACTGCGTAGTCATTCCAAGCATTTACGCAGAATAGGGAAAGTGGGAGCGAGGATTTCCATAACCGCCGCCTCTGAGGAAACGCCGGCACAGGGCGCTATCGGGCTGCCTTCCGTGATCGCAATGCAGCGTCACGGGCAATGTCCAGTGCCCGCGGATGGTCGGGGCCGTCCCTGCGTCACTCGGTCCTGCGCAATGCGTGACGAGCAGGAGTGGTGTGCGTCGCCTGCCGCACCTCAATCAAGGTTTTCCTTGTTATTGGCGCATTGTACATACTCGCCAACGTTGTTCGAAGCAGAGATTGTCAAATGGCCATGGTGACTACAGAGGCATGGCTATTGGCTTGGAATCGTTTCAAAAGTTAGTTTGACCGAAAGGAAGGGTGGTTGCTATGCGTACGGTTCATTTGGTGTGACCTGTCGGGACATTGCGGCATAGCAACACGCGGTCACGGTGATAGAGCAGCGTGGATACTGGTTTATCGCCGACCACACCCGTCATGCCTCATTTTCCGCCCGCCTGCCCGGCCGTTGTGTTCGCCCCTGAGCTGACTGGCGGCTGCAGGCTTCCAGTAGCCGAGCTAATCACATCTCTGCACTCCACTCGACACTCTGACCTCCTCGGGGGCCCATCGGCCGGCCGGAGACGCGGCCGCCGCCGGCAGTCATTGGCGGATCCGGGGTCGGCCGGGTCACTGCCCGAGGGCAAATTGACGGGCGGCGAGCGACCGCCGCCGGGCCCGCCCCGGGGCTGTGGGCTGGTGGAGGGGCAGCGGTGGTTAACAACCGGCGCGGTGAACTGGCTGGTTCAGGGCACTCTGGGTTTCAAAAGTTTCTGGGGTGGCTAGTTTCATGAATGCAACAAGCAGTAGGTGTCCTACGTACCATTGCCACATATTGCCTGATTGTTGTGTGTGTGTTTTTTTTTTTAAATTTATTCTTTAGCATGCATTTACAACGGCATCGGCAGTAACCATTCATTTTCAGACTAGGACTAGCTTACGTACATATTTGCCTATTCGGAAGTCCAGTTTCCAATTGCGATTCATTTACATAACTACGTTGTTGCTGGCCTGCTGGGAGAAGCCAATCTGATTAGCAGTACGTTGAGCGTTTGTTGCTGTCCCAGTCAATATTCCGCTGTGCATTTTGCAGTTAGTAACTCGTGTGTGACGCACGAGCTGACCTCGAGGCGCGACCCTGGTCCTGGAGGGTGGGCGCCACGCGCCGCTACCCGTCATGGCGTCACGCATCTCTAGGGACGGCTTCATGGCCATGAATTATGCTCCTGTCCATCCCTCTCCGATCGTTTCCCGGAATGCGGTCGGACCTGATATCGCTGCTGGAGCGTGTTCCGTGGCCGCTGTTTGTGTCAGCGCTAGCAGCCGTCCTCAGCCGGTCGGATACGGCTCCGGATTCACACACTCTCCCCTCCTGCTGCCACGATCGGAGGTCCGATAGCGAGGGCGCGTCTCACGAATGGACCACATCTCACCGAGTGATCGTATTATGGAGGTGGGATCTCAGGAGTGCGCAGCAGGTTCCCTCTCCGGCTGATCTTGTGTACCAGAAGGAAAACCACAGACTGGGGCGGTGTGATGGGTTCGTGTACCGAGCTCACCCAGCACGTGCCTATTGCCGTCATTCATGGGCTTATGCCTGTCCGATCTGGGCCCCGTATGGAAATGTTACCAAACTATCCGGCTGTGCTGACGTCAGTACTGTCTTACTGAGTTGTGCACCGGTGGCCTGATTCTCGTGATGTTGACGAACATCTTGCCGGACGGGATTCTCATGAATATTCTATTTCGGCTCCGTAGAACTCATGCACGAACTAACGTCGCATTTGGAGCAGGTGCCAGGACAGTTTGGGACTGCGGTCCGACTGGGGTGACAGATGCCCCGCTCCCTGAATGTCAGCGGGTCCCCAGGTCACGACCTATGCCGACACCTCACCCCCCTCCTCCCCGCGGCCGCCCGGGGCGCTAGAGTGAGGCTCGGCGCTCCTCTCTGGGTCAGGCGGGGCTATGCTGCATCAGCATTCAGCACAATGCAACATCTTCCAGCTGGGTGTGGCTGTTCGTACATCTTTCTCATTGCTCGGACAAGGCGCTTGCTCACTGCTTTAGCTGTTCGGCTTGGCCCACTGTGCAACGCCTGCAGTTTGGCTGATGATGCTGAGGTGTTTGGTTGCCGTCTATGGACCATCCTTTTGCGACTAGCTACCGTAAGGTGGGGCTATTTGAGACAGTGGGGCTATTTGAGACAGTATTTAAAATTGCTATAAAACAAAAACCACTTAAAATTTATGCTTAATTTTTTGCTCAGGCGATTCACTGCTCGATTCCACACCTCCCTGAGCAAAAATATCACACAAAAATCAAGCGATCTTCATTTTATAGCGATTTTAAATGCTGTCTCAAATAGCCCCACTGTCTCAAATAGCCCCACTTTACGGTATGTTTGATCTTCGCATTTTTATGTTTTACACCCGTTATATTACCACGTGTTTCCTTTTTATCTTGGATCTCGTCTTATGACCATCGAACCCCGAGCTTGGGATTGGGACACGCTGTCTGTTATGCTTAGTTTAGGATGTTTTCGAAACAGTTTTGGACTCAACCTGGCAGGCTGCATTGTCAACACTCGCTACTGCCAGCTGCCACTGACGAAATCGGAGCAGGTCTAGCTCTAGCTCTAGTGCGTCGCAGTTCGAGTAGGAAAAAAATATCGAATTCCGTGTCTGTCAGCTGGTTGACTGGTCAGTATGTGCTGGACAGGCTGACAAGTCCTGCACACACGCCGACAGTCAGCGCACGCAGTGAACGGAGTGACTGTTTTACCCAAGTTCTACCAAATATGATTGCATTGGCATTGGAAGCTTCCAGTTAAAGGAAATAGTTCACTTTCACGAAATTATTTTTTTTTGCAACAATTTATTATTTTTTATGTTCAAAATAATCAGCAAAGAAAATAAAACCTTTTTATAACAAAATATTTTTTTTCTATATTTTGATATAGGAAGAACTTTTCAGTTTCTGTAAGGCACAAGCGATCCAGTATGAAAAGAGCATGGGTCCCGAAAATTCTTCAGAAACAGAGAAATTATCGCAGCCACCGGCATTTGGGCGATCTGCTCGATCTGATAATGTTCCCCTGAATGTCCTAATTGATCAGTACGAGAATTTCTCTAGAGTTCTCGTAGATAATTTCTCTAGTTTCTGAAGAATTTTCGGGACCCATGCTCTTTTCATACTGGATGGAAATATATGCAAGGCACACATCCTCAACGCAAGACACCTTTTTCGGGACGAGAAATAGAATATCTTTGCCTAGGGTGATCGTTGGGCTGTAAAAGCTCCTGATTTATGCTCGTCTCAGCCCAAGCTACGGAACTGCTATTCCAGTTCAAAACCCATGTTAAAAAGTGAACTATTTCCTTTAACATACCTATTGGCAAGATAACATCTTAGGTGTTGTTTTTATCCGCTGAGACTGAGAGCGTGAGATGATGTTTTTTCGTACTCCAGCGTAGATGGGTAGCCATACGGCTTCCACGGTTGACAGTGATGACATCAGTCATCTTTTGCAAACTTGTTAAAGATTTGGGCTGCACGGGGATTCGAACCCCGGGCCTTTGGATAGGCCCGGGGTTCGAATCCCCGTGCAGCCCAAATCTTTAACGAGTTTGCAAAAGATGACTGATGTCATCACTGTCAACCGTGGAAGCCGTATGGCTACCCATCTACGCTGGAGTACGAAAAAACATCATCTCAAGATAACATCTGTATGGTTGTTTTACTGTCAGTCTTTTATTTCACTGCTACGTTTGTTTTTGACGGTTAGGACTCAAGTCTGATTTCAGTGTTATCTCTGTGAAATGTTATAGTAACCGACCGTGCAGTCAGTCCGCGGTCTATGACCTGGTTTCCGGTCGGTATTGGGGGGTCTCCCCCACCTTATAGGGTGTGTTTATGCTTACACGACTCGGCCGCGCGGGTACGCCCCTCGAGCGGGTCATTTCCCCGAACTTTGACCTCACAGCGACGGCGTTATGTCACGGAGGAATGCACGGGGCGCCGGTTCGACCTCATCTCCGTGGGTCGGCCTCTGCACCGCCACTGTTTGTTGTTGGGCTCGTCGGGTCGCTTTGCAGGGCAGTGATTTTCCACTGAGGTTACTGTCTCGGAGGCCGGGTCGGGGTCGGAGACATGAGCTCTAATGACCAGAGGTCAGACAGTCACTGAAGGCGGGGTGGGGCTCAGGAGCGGGTCGGAATGTGACCCGAGGCGGGCACGTGCCAGCGGCGTGGGTGCGCGCCTGGCTGGCGGCGCCGGCCTCGTCACTGACGCACACATCATCATGACGGAGCGATGAGGTGGACGGGCGCACGGCCAGCTGACTCGGCCGAGTGACAACTCCGACCTCCGCCCCCGCCGCCGCCCCCGCCGCCGTCCGCACCCGCCGCCGCCGCCCCCGTCGGCGGCCGCCCGCACCCTTCCCTGGCGGCGCCGACCGCCACCGCAGGCCGGCGCCGCCGCCTCCGTCCTTGCTCGGATGCGTTGGCGTGTGTCGTGTGCCGTCCCTGACGCGCCGGGTTGCCGAAACCCCGGGTGTGAGTCACCGGCGCCCATTTACTGCGGAACGGGTGCATGTGGCTGCTTACTCATGGGGATAAAGTGTCACTACTGTTACCGATGTGACCGGTTCAAGGTATGCCTGCCGGGGCATTACTCAGCGCTGTTTGTTTTTACATCTGAATGCTGTAGATTGAGATCCTTGTTCGATTGTTACCTGTCCCGTTGTTGAGTTTTAAGTTCCTGCTTTCTGTTGCAGAGTTTATTTGGAGCCAGGAGGAGCACAGGAACCAGGGAGCGTGGACCTTTGTTCAGCCGCGATTCTACAACCTGTGTGCCACCAAGGTAAGAAAGACTTCAGCGTCATCAGTCCCTCCCGATCAGTGGCTGGGATACTGGAATCGTTCGACTCCGAACTGGTTTCCCCACTTTCCCTCCTTTCCCCGGTACGTTCTGAGCATCTGAAGCCGCCGGCTGACCCAGCGACCCCTGTCATGACCTCTGCGGACGAGCCTTCCGCTTTTGGACCGGTACGATTCCACGGACCCCCGCCACTCTCTGGCGCCGGCCAGGCCCCGGGCCGGGCCGCTATGTTTGTACTGCTGACTGCAGTTTAGGATGAGCTGACCGTGTTTGCTTTTCTGGCTCTGCGAATCTGGCGGAAGGGCGGCACAAACCCTCGTGTGCAGAGCACGTGGCCTGCCGCCTTCTGGTGCTGCCGGGTGTGTGGAAATTTGGAGACGTCTGATGAGTTGTTTGTGTAGACGTGGACTGTAAACACTGGGATTACACACTTTGTGCGACAGTTCGCAGACTTATACTATATTGCTTGTATGACATCGTGTTTTCCTGGGTCGTCTGGTACCCCTTCCCTGCTGCTGCTACTCCATAGTAGAACCCATCGTCTGTGACGGACTGTTCTGCCCTTCCCCCGTAGGTCGCCTCTCTGACCGATCATTTTCCCGCTCCTATGGCTCATGTCGCTGGCGTTTCTCTATCCCTACAACATTCCTTCATCTCCCTGGCCTCACGTTTGCCTGTCCGTATTTCGTGCCGCTCAAAATTGGCTGTTCTCTGGATCGTCTATCGCCGGATCGCCTCCGTTGCTGGTTGTGTTTCTCGTGTCGCTTGCCGCTTGGACGCCAATCCCTGGCCGTTGATATATGCGCCCGTTTTCTCACGTGGCTCAATGACCCAGCTCTTAATTCTAATTCGTCCCCTGACCGTCTGTCTGTCCCCGCAGCTGCAGTACTGCGGTCTGGAGGTGTCTGACCGTCTGTATGTGCCTGACCGTCTGTGTATGCGTCCGTCCCGCAGCTCCAGTATTGCGGTCGAGGGATGTCTATCTGACTATCTGTCTGTCTCTGTCTGTGTGTCTGTCTGACCGTCTATCCGTCCCGCAGCTGCAGTACTGCGGTCGGGAGGTGTCCGTCCGTCTGTCTGATTCTGTCTCTCTGTCCGTCTGTCTGTCCGTCTGACCGTCTGTCTGTGTTTCTGACCCCGCAGCTCCAGTACTGCGGTCGGGAGGTGCTCGGCGCGCCGGCCACCGGCACCGGTCGCGACCATCAGCGGGAGGCCAAACACGTCGTCCAAGCACCGTTCAACATGTGAACCCGCCACCACCTAGCACGCGAAAAGTGAGCAGAAAGCGCCGCAAAGGCTGCCTCGAGCAGCCTCACCGGTTGTAGAGCTTGTCTGTCGGCTAGTGACCTTTCCTCTCGCTCGCTCGCTCGCTCGCTTAGACCGAATTCTGTAGTTACACTCGATCTAGGGGTATTGGTAGTCACGTCTCAAATCTCTGTTTCTGGGTTAGACCTTCTGACTCTTCTGCTTTGTTGTGTTATGCCGCTGAGTCAGTGGCCACGTCAGTGACCCAGGAGATGAGTCTCATCGGGAGTCATCACCCTTTCTTGGCGATGACTCGTGGTCGAAACTATGACGAAGCTTCTCCATATGATGTTAGTATCCCCATCCCTTTTCTCAAGACAGTTATGTGTGTGCTAATAATGTGGCAATACCGCGTAAGCGGCTGGTTATTGTGGATCTGTTTATGTCGAACGTCTTCCCTTTGCGGGTTTATCCGCAGAGTTATGATGGTTGGGCTCAGGGGTAGGACAACGATGTAGCTAAGCTCGGGCGTCAGGGTAACTGCGCTGTAACCTGTGCCTTAAGGTGCCAAGTGTTTTGAGAGGTTTGTGATGATTATGGTGGTTACGTGAGATGTAAAATATCCACACCGAGCCCCGTTTACTGCCATGCGGGGTGTGGACTGTTTGAACTGTCTGTCTGTCCGGAAGCTGTTACGCCGGCCGACGGTATCGACTTCGATCCGGTAGTCTCTCAGACAACGGGTAGTGTGATACGTATAACGGGGTGTATTGGGTGCATGGCTCGACATATGACTAGTTTTACATGACTGTGACGGGGCCGGGCCGAGCACCCGACCCCGCCCGATGCACAGAGACGCTCAATACACGATCAATGTCACGGGCCGTGTCACACAGGAGCCGGACCGGCCGCGGGGGTCTGACTCGGGACGATCGCCGGCCGACGGCACGAGCCGCCGGCCGGGACGTCCCTCCTCGGCAGGTACACTGATACAGCGAGTACACAGCGGGCGGCCCGAGACCTGCGGCACCGGCCCGGAATACACAGAGAAATATTACAGACTACATCACAGCGGTGCAGCGGGCACAACTTGCCGCGGACCGACACAGCGCTTCGAACGGCGGCGTTGGATCACATCCTTCCCGTGCCGCTCCCCTCCCTATCACGATACCCGCTGTGGGTTTCCCGTCATCTCCTCCCGTTTCCGGCGTCTTCCGCGAATCGGATCAGTTCCGGCGGATTCTCCGCGCGGCCAGACGCGTCTGACCCGGCCGTGACCCGGCGCCGGTGACCTCAGCTCTGTCCAGCGGCGGTCGCCAGCCGTAGGCCGGCCAGTGCCGACCGCAGGTCCGCCAGGTTGGCGTAGTCGGAGCCGAGCCGCGGCCGGGTCGGCGAGGCGGCGCGGTGAGCGCGCACCAGCTGCCGCACCGCGTCCATGGACAGGTAGCCGGACTCCTCGCCCTCGTCACAGGACTCGACGGTGACGCGCGGCGGCGGCAGCGGCGGCCGCCCCAGCGCCCGGATCGCCTCCATCGTCATGTACGTCGGGTCGTCGTCACCGTCGTCTTCGGCGTCGGTGTCGGCCGGCGGCGGAACTTGGGGCGGCGGCGGGGGCAGCCGGTACTCGGCGGCCGCCGACCAGTCGGCCGGGGACCAGCTGGCGGCGGTCGGCAGCTCCGGAGGCGGCGTCGCCAGCCGCGGCTTGTACCGGATCGCGATGGGCTGGGACGGTCTGGGCCGAGACGGAGCCTGCCACCGGTCGCCAGAGAACAGAATCGACGGCGCTTCAAAACTGCCGCGTTTCGCCTGGAAGACAAGCGTCGGTCCGCCCTCGTCCAGGCCGGGGACCTCGGCGGTGCCGGTACGAGCCACAGCGCGCAGTGCTCGCTCCTGTACCCGTCGCAGGGCGGCCCGCAGCAGGCGAGGTGAGGCGGCCGCACGGCGCCGACACGGTGTGGCCGGCATGGAGACGGTGTCGCCGCCGGCGGCCAGGCGTGCCAGGTCCGGCAGCGAGCCGTTGCGGGGGTCTGCCGAACGGTCCCGCTCCGGTCTGGGGCCGCGCTTAGAGGCCCAGCGGCGCCAGAGGCCGGGCCGCGGCGGTGTGCTCGGCTCGGCCATGCCCAGGAACAGGCTGAGGTCCTTCCGGCGCGCCGTGTTACCGGCCCGCAGTTCGGCCAGGCTGCCGCCCAGCTCCCGCGGCAGGCCCAGGTGGCGCGTCAGGTCCTTGCGGCGCGGCAGGGTGCCTGGCGGCGGTCGCGGCGGCGGCGGCGGCGGCAGCGGGTGCGTCAGGCTGCGGTTGTAGGCGGGCGTGCCGCGCACCTCCAGTAGCGGCGGCAGCGGCTCCCGCAGCGGCTCGTACTCGCCGGACGCGTCGCTGCACGAGTCCCAGTCGTCCTCGTCCATCTGGTCCCATCCTGAGCACCCCGAGTCGGCCGACAGGCCGGTGAACGGCTGTCGCACCGACGAGGCGTCGCTCATGTCTCCGCGCACCCCCGAGTCTGACGAGGAGGCAGAGGAGAGCGAGACGGGCCGCGTGGGCCACAGGCGCGCTGGAGAATCGGCGCGGCTCTCAGAGACGCAGCCGCGCCGGTACTGCATCTGCCGCAGCGTCACCGGCTCCGGCATCGAGGTGCCGCTCTCCTGGGGACACGGGGAGACTCGTCAGAGCGCGGTTCCGGTCGACGATTTAAATCAGTGGCTTAAGTGTTCACTTTGGCGAAAGGGTTGATAAATGAGGGAGTGTGCGATATCAACCGGTCATCGCCCTACCTGAGGACGGTTGGAACTTGGAATCGTGCCGTTTTTGTTTCAGGAAGTGGATAAGACGGCGTGACTGCCAGGCCGCGTGACCGGCGTGTCTAGGAACTCTGACGTAACCTAACAAGGCGAACGCCGATTTCCTGGCGGTAACGACTTTCCAGTTTGGACGGTCTGCGAACTGCGCGAACAATGGGACAATTAGGCGGTCGCCGGTTCCTGCTCAGCCGCCCGTCTACCTGGCGGGTCGGCCGTGCGAGCACGACTGCAGGGTAGCGGTAGGCCGGGCGGGAGCCGGAGGGTTCATTGGGACGATCGTGTGTCATGCAGGCGATCTTTGATGAGGTCTCGTGACCCGCTAGACGCAGAGAAAATTACGAGGCAAAGGCGTATCATTATCGCCTGAGGGCGGAATGGGAAGCACCTCCTGGGCTATAAAAGTAGCAACCGGGCGATGGACTTCCAAAATGACCAATCGGGTTTTCTACCAAAGGCTCAATTAATCCTCTGCACACGGGATCATTAAACGCTGTAATTTTCACCTGATACCTGCGTTGGGAGTAGCGGCGCACGGGACGCACGGGATCAGTTTGCGCTGCACTCATTTTTAATTACACCTCCACAGATCGAACCAATCAGTGGGCCAACCCAGGATATTCCCGACCATTCAAAAATAAAAAAGCGGTCTTTACCCAGCGAACATTTATCTGGCACCCCGCCCACACGGTAGTCAGACTACCTCGGTAGACAGGCTACCACGGTAGCGGTAGAGAGACCACCGTACCGCGCCGGACGCGGTGTGTATCGGTATTTACCTGTTGCGTATCCTCCTCGTGGTCATCCCACAGCTCCTGGTCGTCCATTGTGCACGTCTGGACCATGTCCGCTCGGTGCATCGCAGCACCCGCTTCCACACTGCTCGCGCTCCGGAACGCTACTGCAGTCCGCCGGCGCCGCTGGCCGCTGGCGGCCGGCGCTCCTCGTGGCGCCCCCTCCCCGCCCCGCCCCCCGCGCGGCGCCGGCACCGGCGCAGCCGCAGCTGCTTTTCCACGGAGTGGGGGGGGGGGGAGACGGGAGGAGGGGTCATACCCCGGGAGACATGCTGTTTATATGGGGTGAGTCAAACACTGTTCACGGAAGGTCAGGTCTCACCAAATTTTCCCGTTTTAGGGCACGTTTTCGGGATGTATGATGATGCGAGTTTTTTGTTATTTAATTTTACGGTCTATTCATTTATCAAAAACATTACGTTTTCGCTGCAATTTAACCACATTTAAGTCGCTCTCAGCTTCTCAAACACTGTTCGGAATATTCCAAATCAGCAGGTAACTTTCCGAGATATTAGTGAAACCACTGCCTTCTCAAGTACCTTATCATCCTGTAGTACGGTACATTAGGAACGCGTTATAATGAAATAGTTATTCCTATAATAAAGTGTACGCATCTGGATTAACTAGATAATTTTTCAGGATCTTATTGACCTGCGAGGGCACCTATTTAGTTGGGAAGTAATAACTAGGAGCTATGGTACAGACACAGTAATAGAAAATAGGAGTGCTTCCTTTTTGTAATGGGGTTCGAAGCATCAGGACGATAATGTAGTTACTTCTAGAGTCTAGGTCATTAAACAGGCATAAACACACTATTATTGCGAAACTGAGCATACTGCTAGGTAAGTGCTAAATGCTCATGCATTGCGATCGCTTTATATTTATTGAATGAATTTGTTGCTTCTGTAAAAAAAAGAAGACCGTGTTTTCTCCTTCCTCGAACACGTTTATGGTAATATTTCGAAACAGCTTGGTATATCCGGCATCGTCTTCACATTTTTACTGCATTGGCCATATAACCATACCAAATATGTTGGAAGCTAGGTCATTTTACCTCACCATCTTTGTAAACCATCGCCCATCAGCAACATGTTACCCGAGGATAATCTACACCTTTCGCCAGACCCTAACGTGTTCAGGATCTGCCCGTATTTGGCCTTATCTACTGCATGGGTGGATTACGTCTCCCTTCACCGAGCTCCAGTGGTTCCGTCATGGCCAAACCGTGGCGTGACTGACCAGCTTACCAGCATAGCTGAGTAGCCGCGGTTAAACGTACCGACCCTCCGTTCAGCTCCTTCAGCTACTGACGCTTATTGGCCACGATCTATAGCGGGTGTTTGTATTGTATCAACCGGCAGGGCGGGGTGGTAGGGTTAAGGTTTGACTGATTGAGAGACGTTATGCCATGCAACGTACGAAAAACCCGCCGTCACTTTATCAACTGGGGTGAGCGAATGTATAAATCAGGTTGAATGCATGAACTGTGAACGAAACTCGCAGGTTTTATTATTGTGAATCTACCGTCTACGAGTAGGTATTTCAACGAGTAATGAGTCGATTTATTCTTTATCGTGATCACTTATCTGAGTTTGATAAGCATAGTGCATGCACAAATGTTAAATCGGCTAAGCTAGGCAGTGGACATTGCACATGAGCTCGTTTAGCTAAAGGCATTAGACATGGCACCTTGCCCACCAGTAGCAAGCGAGTTAACCTTTTTATCCCCGATCAGGTAAAATTTCAATACGCTAACATAATTACATCCTAATTCCAATAACTCCAAGCCCAGCTCAAGATGATTGTTATTTTGACGTCCTCGGTCCGGTCTGCACGGTAATCACGTTCACATAGTTGGCTGATGTAAGGTCGATCCCCCGCTGACGAGTTCTCTCGAGAGAACCACACCGCCTGCGGGTTCACAACGGTCCCTCCCCTTTAACGAGAAAAACGAAATAGCGTTCTAGGAATTCCATGGAAGAAGGTAAAAAAAAAAATCACTGCTGCACGTGTTGACGTGCTCGCTGCCCTCTGTCGACTGGCGCCTGGCGTGTCCCTCTCCGCTTCCCTCTCGCCCCTGCCTCCCCGCGGCCATGCGCCGTCCTCCCGCCGTCCCTCCCCCTCCCGTTGTTCCCCCTCTCTCCCCTCACTTCGCCGTGCGTCCCTACCCGATCCGTCAACATACCTTACCGTCTCCGCCGTTAAGGTGGCTAATTTGCCATTTATGCCGTCTTTTCGCTTCGTTTCGCCTGTTGTTGGTATTGTGCGAAAGTTGTCACCACCATCCTCTCTTAACCCTATTCCTGGCGGGGGGGGGCCTCAGGAGCCCCCCTGAGGTTTTTTGGTTATTTCTCCCAAACGCGTTGAGCTAGGAAGCTCAAATTTTCTGACTTTTCCTAAAAGGCTTCTACGCAACATGTCTGAAAATTTTGAGTTGATCTGACCTCAGGTCAGGTCACCAGAGGCGGTTTGGTGACCCTACCTCAGAAAAGTTTGCAATCACGCCAGAGCTAGAGTTTTTGACCGATCAATTTCTTCTCTTCAGGCTTTAGTTAGGGTACCAGTATGTGCAATTTGTATATCTCGGAATTTTGATATCGGTGACCTAAGGTCAGGTCAGTTTCGCGACCTCCCCATTATAAGTCAATGGGGGAAAAATCAACTCCCTGTTTTTACCACTAAATCGGGTCGGAATGGCCCCATATACCATACATGACTTCATATACGATCAACCTTCACTACCTTGAGGTCTGTTTTGCTGTTGGGCAGCTGTGAGGTCATGTGACGTCATCAAAGGTCACCAAAGGTTTTTGGCCAATAACTCCGTACAGGAACAAGATACAGACGCGTGGATGGTCTCATTGTGTTCAGCTCGTCAAGACGCATCGAATGATATACATGATGACCTCGAGGTCACGTGACCTGAGGTCAACCTTTGACCTTGACCTTGCGAGGTCAACATATATATCATTCGATGCGGATTGACGAGAGGATCACGATGATGCCCTTAGTTTGTTCCTATCTTGACTAATTCGAAAGTTATTCGAGAAAAACTCTCCATATCTAGCGCCGCCATTTTGACTTTTTCGACCCCTGTGACGTCATCTTTGACCTGACCTGAAAATGACTTTGTAAAAATTGTAGATCTTGACCGTGCGTATCCGATGCCGTTTACCGTTTGTCGCTATCTTGCTTCGTTCTCGAGATCTCAGGGGGGGGGGGGCCGAATCGGCCCCCCCCCCCCGCCAGTTTCTTGTCCCGGCGGAGCCCGCCAGGAATAGGGTTAATTCTCTCCTCTGAGCATTGACTGCCAGATCACCTTCGGATATTATCTACCTATCCGTTAACAAAAATCACCCCCAGGCTGATGGAGGCTGTATAACAGCGCGTCTCTCTGCGGCCGCTTCCCACCGCGCCGGGCGGCCGGAAGGGGCGCCGCTTGCTGCCAGTCCCACGCTCCGGAAGTGATGTGATCGCCGGTGCCGGCACGACTGGCCCGCTGTATGCCGTGACAGACACAGCTGGACCGACTCTCAGACGGGTCCCAGACGAGCGGAAGTGTATTTATCAATGAAACGGACACGATGGCCGTTTGTCGGGTCTGGCCGTGGATTTTTTAGGATGTGTCTGAGCCACAAAGGTGATCTTTATTAAAAGTATACAGTCAAGGGCTTTGAACCATGTGGGTTACTTCATTGGTGTTTTATCAGACTAATCATGATGAACAGTCGTTGTTCAGGTGATCCACCTGCTTATTAGTAAAGCGAATGCGCATCATTTTTTTCTTCTTGAGGCCATCGACAGAAATGTTCATCATTGTCTCTTACGCAGTTTCATGGACTTTATTTTTTTTGTGATTTATAGAAGTCAAATGCGTACAAATTACATTGTTTTGGCTAGTTGCTATCTGTGAGACGCGAGTTCGCTGATGCCAGTGATACCGAAGTTCTCGGGTCTAGCAACTCAACACAGACTCATTACCGAGCGTCGTCAATTGAAATGAAATGAAGTAGTTCATCCCATATGTTTATTTGCTTTGAAGTTCAGAAATTATATAATAGCTACGTAACGGAGTGACTTATCAACTCATCACCTACGTTACATATTTTATAATGAGCAATTCTGAAAAATGCATAAAAGCGCATGCATTCCGTATAGCTTATGCAATACTGGGATTATGTTGACCAGGCCATACCGTCCTGTATAGCAATATTGCAGTTCAGCACAATCTGTCATGCAAGCCGATGCTTTGGTTGTTAGTGAAGAACTTAATTACATTTTTAATAATTCAATTACGTTCACTTGCTACCCACTCCGATCCGATAACTTTGGGGAGCACACCCATCTTGGGGCGTCGATAACTTGGAGGAGCTCAGCCATCGCTCGGTGCACCTTGTCCGGTTTATCCGGTGCAGGCAGCTGGAACTTATATCGAGGTATTACCACTTTCCCATCAACACCACAATGTCACCAGCGGTGACGCAACGAATCCCCGTGTCACGGAGGAGACGGGGCTCCCCATCGGCTCAAAGCATGAAAACCTGTCGCTTCTTTCACTGTTCACCGCAGCATTATCGGTAATAGTCGCACTGGTGTCAGGCTGTGGTCCGCGGTGGCCGGTGTGTTGCGACCTCCGCGACTGGCTCGTCAATCCGTTATACCGCCGCAGTTCCGACGATCCGCGTTCTTCCCTCACCTCCAATGGCCGGAAAATGCCGTCACATGGGCTGGTGAAGGGGTTTGCGACGAGTGCTCTCTGATCGAACCGGCCGCTGAAGCAGTACGACTGGGGTGCGTTAGGGTGTGTGCTGAACTCATCAATTCGTCGCTATGTCGCCGGTTGACTGCCGGTGTCGGTAACATGGGCCCTGTTGGCCCTGTTGAGTACCTTTGGCAGTGGTTCAATGTATACGTTGCACCGTATTGGGGCCATGCAGGGAAGGGACCAGAGATAGTTGGAAGTGAGACGGATACGACGGAAATATATGCATGCATGTTATTACGGGTGGATAAATCTGGAAATCTAATCTATATTTCGATCCAGATAGGCATCAGTTGACCTTCATGTCTTCTTCATGTCTGCGGCACAGCTGCAGAGTGCAGATGAACCAAATCAAGGAGCATCGCACGGCGATACTCAATTGTCATTGTTTCGAGTCGACAACTCGTGCTTCGCCCGGCCGCCAGCCGGTAAAAATGCGCCCATGTCCTGTGTCTGAGCCCAGCCGGCGCCACCAGCCGGTCCGACTCGACATGAAGGACACGTGCCTGTCACAATCAGAGGACGCTGCAGCTGGTTTTTGGTCACGGATATGGAGTCGACGGCACTCGGCAGGCTTCCCCTCCCCCCGCCTCCCCCTTCATTGTTCAACTTCGTGTGTTGCCGTTGCATGGAGCGTCCATGCATAAAGTAAAGAATGCATGCACAAACATAGAGGCCAGTGAAGGCTTTTGATAACGGTGTGAGCGGGTAATCGGGCTTGTTATCGGGCGGAGCTGTGTCCGGTAGGCTAAAGACGGCCAGGCTACGGTAGCGATCCGTGCTGAGCTACATCAGATCAGCCAGATGTCCATGCTAAGTGGCTGCCGTACTGGGGTGTAGTGTGTGTACTCGGGCGCGAGAAGCAGTTGGAAGTGCTGCTATCTGATCCCGCGCTCATATTTCCGGAGCCGAGCTCTTTGGGGCGGGTCGGGCCATTTTGTGAAACGCGTGAGTGTGAGCATCATGCAATCGCTGGATGGATGCGATGGCGAGTTGATCTACTGAAGCAGGATAACTGCATGCACATTTCACATTGTACATGCACTAATGCATCTTCCGAAATTACTATAAACTTTGCATACCTACATTGAATATAAAATACATATGATGATCCCTGTCTAAAGGCCTGGCATAATTGGATACCGTCCGGTCCGCTCTGGTCCTGTTGGTCGCCATGCGCCATTCATGCTCATTTGATTCAACGAACTCACGAACGGTGAAGCAGTAGGTACACTGAAAATAACGCCACGGGCTCGTGTCCTCGGTCCAGACCCGCTGTCCGGTCCGGTCCCGGGTCCGGTCCGGTTCGACCACCTCGTCAGTTGTTCCCCTTCCGTCCATTGTTGCTGAGCGGACCGGCAGCTGTAAAGTACTCGGCTCTACATTGGACGACGGACCATGTGTCTATCTATTGTGACCATGTGGACACACGTCTGTCTATCTATTTATGGACATGATGGTAGGAGGATGAGCAGCATAGAAGGATGAAGGACATGTAATGTTACATAACACTTCTTCTACCAGTGACCATTTGTATATGTATGTAATTAAATAAATGGCCAAACAAATGCCTGAACGGCAAGCAGTGCCATAGAGATTGCAATATAGCCGGCGCCGGCTGAAGGCTTTAAAATTTCATTTGATGAAGCGTTAGTCAGGCTTTCTTTAGTCTGTAGCTTAGCTGCCCAGTGCCCAGGCTCGGTGGTCATTCGCAGGAAAGGAAGTTTCCTGACGGTGCGTTTGCCTTTTGTTTCGGTACGCGTGCTATTTGCCTCATATTAGTCGGTGTATTTGACTCCCAAGTCCAAAGAGCTTGAAGCTGGTTAGCTTGGCAATATTTTCCTTTAATTTGTAACTGATCGATTGTGACTGGTGTGATTCCAACGTGGAAAATCCGGGATGATATCCTTCAGGTTTCCGATTAATCCTTTTTTTATGAAAACGCAACTTTGTGCTTGCTAGAACGGTATTGACGGCTTGCATTTACCCACTGTTCGTAGGACATAGACATTAGATATGTACTTGAGGCTTGACCCTTGGGTCTTGCCCACCGGCCGGGTCTTTTAGCCGAATGGATTGATAAGGGAACCTTTCTTTAGTGGGTGTAGAAAGACGGCGAATGCAGAGATCGGAAAGCGGCCTTATGTATTTGAGCAAACGATGCTTATGTTCACATATAAGATCTAAAGGTATCGCGCTTTACGACGTTGACCTCTGTTGACCTCAGAGCTTAGCCATGGACGGTCAGTATCCGCACGATTAAAAAACCGTTTTCATGGCCAAGGAACAAGAGCCTTGTGTTCATCATCTCACGAATATGTGGAAGCCAACCCACTAAGGTCAGCATCTGACGCCTTTCTGCTGTTCACGGAGCGTGGAGTGTGGGGCGCCGGCCGCACCGGCACCGTGGCGTCACCTCCCGGGCGGACCGCGGAGGCCTCTGTAGAGGAGTCGCCGTACTCACGTCGCTGAAAACTTTGGGATGTGTATCGGTCATTCTGACTGGCTCCTCAAGTCAACCGCTGAAAACCTGACGTCTCTCACTATAATTTTGTACTTTTCCCGTCTTGTGTCAACGACCCGGAGGCCAGCTCGATGAGATAGTTGTACTTACCAAGTACTCGTGCCGTCCAACCAAATGAATGGAATTATTTCGTCTTCAGAATGGGTAGCTACATCCCTGGCTGGCCGAGGGGACGGGTGCCACCCATGATAGACGCTTTTTTCGTGATTGCCCGTAAGTCGGAACGCACTGGCCGTAGTGCTAACTGCTGAAAGTGGTCACACCTGTGACCTGATTCAAGCGGGATCTTGTGAAAGCAACCGCACTCTCGGGCAGGTCAGGTCACTGGCCTGTGACGTCATAAGTCAACCTCTATACGTTTCTAAAATCTCGCAACTTTGCAATGCCCTCGGTGTCAGGAAGCCTTTCGCATGTACATAGATGAAACTTATAAGACTTGATAGCCTCCCGATCCTTCACAAATCGCACATCTTAGATTTTTTTCATATAGGTCACCCGGGGTCAGGTCGGTCAGGTGACCTCACCATGATAGTCATTAGTCAATGGAGAAATCCGGAAACTGTTATTTTGGCGGCGAAATGGGCTAGACTATCCAAGCATAATGGAATCGTTATTTCGTACACTCCTTGCAAGGTCAGATGCGTTGTTTGCATTGTGAACCTTGGTTGATGTCATACCTATATGACGTCAGTCACAAGGTTATCGGAGTTTTTCGTCAATAACTCCTGATCTAGATAAGATAACGAGTCGGAAAAGTTAACTAGGCTCAGTAAGACCTGCCGAATCGAATGATATGCAGCATGACCTCCTCCGACCAACTTCATGACCTCAGTAGCTTTGACCCGACAGTGACCTGAGGTCAACATGTTAAGACAACGCTCTTATCCAAACGAACTCGACACGACACAAACGGCGCGTCTGACCAGGATAAACACGATGGTGCCAAGAAGTGCGGCTCTGTGATCATTTTTTAGCAAAGTTATTCACCATAAACTTAACTCCTACCTTGGAGCAATTGACCTAACCTCAGAGCTCATCGGTTGGCCTGAGACCTCAAGCCTGGTTATTGGGTACACTACATACCAGTCGTTGCATTTCGAAATGGCGCGCAAACGCGTGTTTTGCTATCTCAATTAGGGGCGAAACGGCAAGTCGGATTCGACGAATCGGCGAGGGTTAAGCTGCCGGTCCGCTACAGTTGCAGTGCTAAGTGCATTATGCATCTCTGTTGTTGATTATGACGGCCCTCCATGACGTTCTAAATTTTAACTTGATCTAGCAGGAGTTGACAGTACCGTCCCATCTTTGCACCTGCCACCTGCAGTCTGCACTCGTTCGCTGCTCTTATGAAGTCATTGTTCGCGACAATTCATAATTCACCTGCGCTAATGTAGACCTTTGGCCTGGGATCTTATTCAACAAGTAAAGATAGATGTGCCTTGGCAGACATGTATTTTTGGCTCTATTCAGATCAAAACACGTGTATGATGGCAGACACAAACATTTATTACCAGACATGACGATGCACTATATACATTGACATAACAATACACTGTGTGCTGAGGGGCTGCACACAGGCGGCAATATGGCAGAAGGGTGGCATGGGATGAAAGTTATGTTTTGCAGAGTGTATAAAAAGAAACTTGGCTGGAAAGGCAGCAACAAAAGAATAAGTGGGCGTGGGATGGTGCAAAGCTATGGGCAGGTGCAGGATGCCATGACAAGTGACACAGGGATATACAAAGGGGGTAGCATTTAGGGTGAATCGGAAGAGCATGAATAACGGCACGCTTCGGGAATAGGAATGACTGTAATTAGCCGAGCGCTAGCAGATCACCCATTTCAGCGAGCACTGTTAGCTGAAAGACGCTTAGCGATGGACGGTTTAGCGAGATACAACATGTAACAGACTAGGAAGTGCTCGGATATCAGGACCGCAAATGAGCCACACACAGCACATACAAACACTGAATCACTGAAAGCCACTAGAGTATCATAATGGGTAACAAAGCGGCCCTGAGGCCTGCATTGAATCTCCGCAAACCTCCGGTGAGGGTGTGCGGGACCGCTGACCTCCCGTCTACTGGTAGCTGGGCTGCTGGGGCGCCGGGGCGGGTTCGTAGCTGGGCTGCTGGGGCGCCGGGGCCGGCTCATAGCTGGGCTGCTTGGGCTCGTACTTGGGCTCAGGAGCCACGTAGGGGCGCGCGGTGCCCTCGTACTGGACGTCGGCCACGAATCCCGAGTCGCCCTCCACGGAGAAGGTGACACGCTGGGTGCGCCCGTCGGGCAGCAGCACCGAGTAGCCGCCCTGCACGTTGCTGCCGTCGCGGGTCTCCTGGGCGCTGTACTCCGAGCCCGAGTACTCGTCACGCACCGCGTACTCGTACTGGTACTGGGCCGGCTCGTACTCGGCCGGCGCGTACTGCGGAGCCGGCTGGTACTGGGGCTGGGGCTTAGGGGCGGGCTGGTACTGCGGCTGGGGCTTGGGGCTCGGCTGGGGCTTAGGGGCAGGCTGATACTGGGGCTGGGGCTTGGGGGCGGGCTGGTACTGAGACTGGGGCTTGGGGCTCGGTTGAGGCTTGGGGGCAGGCTGGTACTGGGGCTCAGGCTCCTGGTACTGGGGCTGGGGTGCGGGAGAAGGCTGGTACTGCGACTGGGGCTTAGGACTCGGCTGAGGCTTAGGGGCAGGCTGGTACTGGGGCTGGGGAGAGGGGGCGGGCTGGTACTGGGGCTGAGGGGCGGGCTGGTACTGGGGCTGGGGAGCGGGCTGGTACTGAGGCTGGGGAGAGGGGGCGGGCTGGTACTGGGGCTGGGGCTTAGGACTCGGCTGAGGCTTAGGGGCGGGCTGGTACTGGGGCTGGGGCTGAGGGGCGGGCTGGTACTGAGGCTGAGGCTCCGGCTCCTGATACTGGGGCTGGGGCTCCGGCTCCTGATACTGGGGCTGGGGCTCCGGTTCCTGATATTGCGGCTGCGGCTCCGGTTGCTGGTATTGCGGCTGAGGCTCCGGCTGCTGGTACTGGGGCTGAGGCTCAGGCTGCTGGTACTGGGGCTCCGGCTGCTGATACTGAGGCTCCGGCTGCCGGTACTGCGGCTGCGGCCTCTGGTACTGCCGCTGCGGCGCCCAGCTCTGGGCGGATGCCGAAGCCAGGACGGCCAGAATGATGAAAACCTGCGGGAAGATGAGCTCGTTAGGCACATCTTTCAGATGTCGGAAACTTATGGTACATAATAAAATTGAACGGAAACGACGTTTTAGCTCGAAAGTTCATCAGTGAAACTGATGTCACGAATCCTATTCACGCCTCATTCAAATCTCGTCAAACATCATCAAACACAGGTAAGCATGAGAATCAGCTGCTCGCAGATGCCCACCTTCATGTTGGCCTCTGCTCGGGATCTGAACTCCTCTCTCTGCGCCGCTCCGCTCGGGTTTGACGCCTCCTCCGTCCGCTCCGACCCATTTATACCGACCCCCTCGCCAGGGGCGTGGCGCCCACATCGGCCGTGCAAGCCATGTCGAAGGAACAATTGGCGAGCGATTACTGGGTCAGCTACTTACACAACGCGCGCGTCCCGCGGCGAGCGCGCGGCCCGTCTGCCGGGCGCGGCGCGGCGGTCGGCTCGACGGAAACGGCACCGTCCCGGCCCGTCCGCACTCCGCAGCGGGGAGGGGCCGGCCGAGGACAGATGGAGGTAGCGCGGAGGACTTTGTTCAGAGGTAGGCGGCATTGTGACTCGGAGACAGTTCGATCGACGGATGAGGAAATCTCAGGACCGTTACCACACATTTATGGAAACGGTAGTCTAGTGTGTGTGTCGTGGTCTAAGATTGAGTCGGGAGCTCCAGTATTGTTCACCGTCCGGAGACACTACCAAGCCTTTATTGTTATTCGAGTGGAAATCTCTAGCTTTTAATTGATCCCTGGGGCCGGCACCTAGCCGCGGCCTCGGAACCTCACGTGGCCCGTATCCATCATCTCGCATTATCCCGACCCTAACTAGCGAACATGAGCGTCAAAACGATTGGCATGGATTGGTGTCAGGCGATTTTACGTACCTCGGGTTTTTCTTAAATTTAACTAAAACGGTGGCCAATTAGGTCGCAGTTTTTGACATTGCGTCTGATCGGGCTAATCTGAGGATCAGTAGATGATATTTGAGATAGGTACCAATAGAACAGAGAAGCTACCTCAATCTAAAACCGTGCATGTTTGACTTGGCAACACCGGCTGCTAGCCACTGCTTTGAAACTTTCCATGATCGATGAGGGTAACCGGTCAGAATGTGATTTTTATAGAAGCGAACTTTCAGGCATTGATTTGTTTACATCGATGACCAAGGTGTGGTACCTTCGGGTCCTTTCCTTCATTCAAAAGGAAGGTCATGACGCGTCCATTGGTTTGCAACAAGACCTTCTCGGGTCATGACCTGGCTTCGACCTGCGGTCATGTTTTGAAATTGACCTGTCAAGATCGTCAAGTATGTACAATATGTTTCGAACTGCCTCAACGAGAGAACACGATGATGCCGACTTTATGTCTCTTTTTTATTTCGAAAGTTATTTGGCCAAAACGAAAAGGTAGGTACGATCTCCATAACATTTTATATTTGATGACTTCTGGTGACCTCAATGTTGACCGGACTCTAAAATGTTCCTTTCAATAAATCTTTCTTTCAATAAATATTTCAGGTCTTGTCTTACAACGAGCTATCAAACGGAGTTAATTAGGTATTTGCAGTTCCGATGCCTGGCTTTCGAGATCTGGGAGAGCGGGAGGGGCGAAAAGCCTCCTCCCGAAGCCGAGCTTTTGAGGGCCCATCCATCTCTATTAACCCGGCAGGCGGTGGGTCTACCAGCCACCTTCCGCGCGGTGGGGGGGGGGGGGCATTTTTTGCCCCCCCCCCCGTATCTCCGAAACTACTGGACGGATCCGGAAAATTCAAACGGCGTTCGATAGGCCAGTCAAATTTGTCGAAAGAAACCAAATTTCATTGACCTCGGGGTCACCGATGACGTCACAGGTCAGGTCAAAGATAAAATGTTTCACCGTTCACGGGGCTTCTAGGGAAAGCGCTATAACACCAAATAAAAGCATTTTGTCGAAAATCAGCGATAAGGCGTCAGTTGTCTAGTACATATGTTGCTATTAGAGGTCACTGGTCATACCAGGTCAGGTCACAGGTCAGGTCACCAAAGGTCACCAAGGGTCACCACATGAGCCCAACTTTACTAAGGTTATGTGATGCATGTTTTATGGCCAGTTTTTCATTTCCAACTCAATGGTGTTGGTTATAAGACCATCAGGTACAGTTTAGGTCACTTTCTGGTGGAGGTCAGGTCAAGGTCAGGTCAAAAAAGGTCAAATTTCAAAGTTGATATTTTTGCATAAAATGGGTATCGATTCAATGCAGCTCGTCACGGGGAGTCTAATGGTGGTCTTTGTTTTGCGCTACGAGGTCTAGAATTGCTAAAAATTGAGTTTGAAAATTTGACGTCATCAATTTTGAACAGTTTTTTTCGCTATAACTTGGCCAAAAAAAGAGGTATCGATCTCAAATTTAGTATGTAGATAGAAAGCGGTAGGGACTATCACATATATTCCGGTTTTTTCGAAATTCAAAAAAAAACTTTTTGGATTTTTTGGCTATTATATTCAAAAAATCTATTTTTTGATTTTTGGGGGTCAAAATCCAAAAAATTCGAAAAACCGAAATAGCAGTTTTGTAGCCCTCTTGATTCCAGACCTTTTATGTCTAAAATATTTTTCTGTATCTCTAAAGCTGTAGGCTTGACAGCTCTTCCCGCGAAACCTTTTTTTTTGGGTCGAAAATGGCAAAAATGACGTCACTCTGACGTCATTAGCGGCCAACCTATCATAGCCTTTGGAAAAATTTTTGGTCACCATGTGCGCTAGCTGCTCCCGGGACTGTACCGAAAGTTTGGTGACGATCGGCGCAGCGGTTCTCGAGATATATCGAAAAAACTAAAGGGGGAGGCAAAAAATGCCCCCCCCCCCACCGCCTGGAAGGTTAAGAACTGTCAGCAATACCAGAAGGAAAATGATACCTAACATACCAATCAACATAAAAGTGCTGAAAGTTCAGTGATGCATACCTACCTATTGCATTAGTCGGTTCAAGCAAACGTCAATCTCAAGACACACGTCGAGAGAAACACGTTAAATAATCACGCAGAGAGGATGTAAAACAGGCGGACCGGAGGTGACAATGAGGTGCTTGCTTACACATGAGAATAACAAGATAAGTTGGTAATTCATGTGCCAAAATTACCAGGAAAGCAACACGTGCATTATCAGGCGGCTAATGCAGGAACGGATGATTATGCTTTTGCAATGTGTGCCATTTTCTCGGTCCATTCGTCGGTGCGCTAATTCGCCGGGAGCCGGCGGCGGCTGAGAAAATTAGGCGGCTACTGACAAATTACGGGTATGCCGACCACCGTATGTGTGTGTCGTGTTAACCAACATCAGCATGGTTCTGCCGGGGGCGGGGGGAGGGGGGGGGGGGGGGCTGCGGCATCGCCCTAATGGGTAGAGACGGCGATGAACATGTGCGATTAACACCTAAAAGACTTTTACGCAATACGCATTTTAGTTTGTTTGCAAATGTATGTCATGGCCATTTAACACCAACGGTTATGTTTGTTCGATTAAAAGCGCCTTCGGTCTATTGAGATCAATCCCGGGCCGTGTGAACCGGGATGATTGGACAAAGTGGAGACATTGTGCCTGGTCGACCACCCAGCTGCACCATACGCGCGCCGCAGCCGCTGTCGGCGGAGCTCGTCCCGCTGGGATCCCTTCGTCTGATCTTTGATCGCACTTCTCTGTCCGGATCGACAATTTATCCCACCTCCCTACTGATAACCTGGTGGGGAGCAGCTCCAAAAGGAGCCTGCATCTCCCTCCGTGCCCGTACCTACTGTTCGTTTGTTTGTGTGTGCGCCGTCTAATTCGCTGTGCATGGTGTAACTTGACGAAGTCATTCATAGTTAGTCATGTCTCCCACCATTCCTTAGCAGTTACTGAAAAAAACCTTCTCAGCACTGCACTTTGAAAACGAACAAAACGCTCAAAGAAGGTATCAGGACTTTTGACATTTCAGCATACCCGTACCCATCGAGTTTTGAAATACATCCTGGACTAATCGACCATATTAGGTAAACTCGCGAATGAAGAATCGCGAGCAGAGCACCATTATAAGCTCGATCTCGGAATCTCACATTGACTCATCGCGTAGAAGGCGGGGTTTGGTCAGATCAAACCGGTGATACCTCAGCTCTGTGCAGTTACTCATCAGAGGAGCCCCGGGCGGCGTATCACTGGATGAGATCTGGAGCGTTTTGCTGTTGACACACCGACGCGCCGCCGGCAGGGCCGCCGCGCGTTGCGTCAGGGTGATATCTCGACCGGTGGAGGGGTGCCGGCATCGCTCGGTTAGGCTCCCAGCGTGGATCCAGCATGACCCCGCCTGGGGCGCTCTCGTCACACGGTACCCAGTGCTGATCCGTACGATAGGAGTGCAGTGCCTTTGCCACGGCCTAGCCACATATGAGCTGTTGCACAGTAACCGCATTTGATCTGATCGTGCAGTTATTCAGTTATCGTCGCTCTATTGCGGAATGTCGACTTGACGATCTCTTTGACTCAATTACTCGACATTTTCACTAACGAGATGGTGATAAGTGACCATCCACGCCCTGCACTGTCCCTGCATGCCGTCAAACTGGTAACGCTGGTCACAAATTCCGCCTTCGATGGCGGTTTGTCCCGTTGTCCTTCTGTGGACCGTCTCGGCTCCTCTCACTGTACGAGCAGAACGTAGCAGAACCGGGCCTTTTCTGTGGGAAGACCATTGCTGTCGATCTGGCCGTCTATTGTTCGGCCTCTGCTGCAGCGATGAATTGCTCAAAGCGGCGATGGAAGAATGTCAAAACTTGCACGTGAAGACGGACACAGCACGCAGGACGCGCAGCAGGCTCGAGAGTTATTCGTAGACAGGATAGGGAATCAGGGATGTATTTTCAGTTCGAAGGATGTATTTTCAGTTCGAAGGATTACGCGGTAATAAAACAACTTATCGGCCCATTTCTTATACCTAAGCTAACGATTAACTTTTATGTTGATAACTCAAGAGCTGCGATGGCCCATATAGCACATATAAACCGGTCTAGGCTACCTCGGGCGTCTGTCGGCTTCTCTCTGCAGTATAGGTGCTCAGTGTCAGTATAACCGATGAGCAATGGGCAATGGGCATACCTGGCTCGACGGGTGTCGGTGAAGCCAGCACCTGGGCGGGGCGCGGTCAGCCCCCCCCCCCCTCCCCCCTGGACGAGCTCAGGTCAGTTTTGCACACATATCGCCCGCCCGGCCGGCCGACCAACGGGGTTGTGTAAGCGGCCGAGCTGGCCGCTGCGCCGAGGAGCGCCCTTTCACACGTGCTGCCGG